CCCCAAAACCCCAAAACCCCAAAACCCCTAGGTGTAATTAAAAGATTGGATATTAGATTTGGTTAAAAATGAATGTGACAAAGAATTTAGTGAAATTAGGTAGTGGATTTAGTTATTTTAATTAGAGCCTAAGCCTTCTCTATTGGGAACGATGCCTGATTAGTTATCTCTTTTATCTTGTAGAGGTGTGCTTAAGAGTAGAGAATTTACGTCAATATTGTCTTGTGATTCGTTAATTCTTTCTCTTCTCATTACGTCTAGCTCTCGGTTAACGATGGAAAGAATCTTATTCTTTTCAACTTCAGGGCTAGAGTAGATATCTTCAACTTTGTCTTCTTCACGAGGATTTATCAAATAACTATCAGATTGCCATGCTGTATTTCTCTGAGTATCAATAATTGTTAGAGGATTATTACGAATTGAGAGGTTTTTACTTCTAGATTTTATAATTTACTCTGGAATTTTTAGGTTTCTGAATTTGAGTACCGAATTCACCGTTTCGTTTGCTTCCTTCTTTGTTGGCTCCTGATTCTCTTATCCTAATTATCCCTCTATCCTCTTGGCCTTGAAGTGCATCTTGCTTTTCTTTGGCTTCAGAGGTCTCTCTAAGTTCTTTTAGATCATGGTGAAATCTTGGTTTTTCTTCAGTTTTGGTTTTCTCCTTTATTTTATTTTTCTTAAATTCCTGAAGGTATCTATTGAAAAGAGTGCCCCGTTGGCTGAAGTCTCCATTCTCTCCATCTCAATGATAGTGTTTCTTCTTAACATCAACTATCTCAAAGAATAGCTTGAGTTCTCTGGGAAGATAATCAGACACCTAAATTTGTTCTAAGACTATTAATCAAAAATATTTCGCTAATGGGCTGGACTCGGCTAATTCAAAAATGCTGGAGAGATGCTTACTAGTTCATAGCCCATGAATGGGTGCGGTTTATAGAGTGTACTCCTGCCCAACCATTTTTCACATCAGCTTAATTCTTTGTTCTGTATTTTGAACCATAACACAGTACATCCGGATTGAATGATAACCGAGTTATCCACTTTTAAAGGCTTTCTGAAGACTCGTAAAGTTCCAAACTTAGACTGAAAGTCCATGAAGTAAAACTTTTTATTTGTGATAAAAAATTTGAGACTGCAGTCTGGATATCGAGTTATCCGGGACGCACAGATCACTATCTCTATATCTTCCAACTGAAAGGGAGAATTTCTTTCTAAAGTCCAAGACTTGGACAAGTCTGCTATTTTTCATCAAAACGATTATATGTCTCGAGGACGACATATTTTGATCTTTTTGGGACAGGGTAATCGAGTAATTTATTTCCTAAAAAGTTATGCATATTTTAGTTTTTGCAAATCTTACATGAGATTTCTTTTCCTTGCACTGTGATTACTTCTGGGAGTTGAGCCTTGCAAAGCTCGCAAGTGAGATCTTCCCAATAATAGGTGCTAACATGGGGATAGTACTTTTCTTTGCGCTTACTATCAACCCAGGACTTTAAGCACATGTAATGGATATACTTTCAGGTACCTAAAATATTAGAGGTGTCTTCTTACCTGATCAATTGCAGGGAGACACCAGAGCAGTTTCTAGGTCACCTTTGGCTTGTTCTTCTTCGACATCTCCGTCGCATAGGCAAATTCTTCAAGTAAAATTCTCCCTTTTGGAAGCTATAAATGGTTATTTTTGTGAAGATACCTCTTTGAGCTTCTTTAATTTTTCCAGAAGACTTCTTGATCCTGAGAGATAGCTCTGAGCGAGACATTTTCTTAGAAGTCTTCAGCAGCAAAGTTGGAGATAGATGAACATTTGGTGTTTTTGAGGAATTATCTGATAAAGGATGGTTTGGTTCCAGATAATTTCCTATGCATTTGCCACTGTTAAAATTCATTGCTCCCATTACTGATGTTGATCCAAAAGCTGCAGAGTCTATAGTGTTATCCATCATGCTTCTTGGGCTAGCTCCTCGTGAATGTGATTCGCTGAGAATGATAGGCTCTTCGGAGGTTTCTCTGACATGGAAGCATATCCTTCCGAATTTGATAAAATCTCCAGCTTTGAATTCATTCCGTGAATCCTCGCTTTTGCTGAAATCTAACTTTCCCTCTATCTTAGACATGATCTGGCATCCCATGTTGTTGGCATGCTTGACCAGATCACTGTCGAGTAGAGATTTAGGCTGGTAAATGTAGTACTCTCCTTGGTAATAGACTACAGATACTAAAATTCTTACATCTGTTGACAAGTTTATCCGATCTATCTCATCGACATTTAGGAGAAATACACCCTCGTTATTTTCTGCATAAATAGAATCATTTGGCTGATTTTACTGTGAAATCTTTCGAAATTGGGTTATTTCAATGATAATCAAACAACTCAAGCGATTCTTTTCCAGCTGTCATGGTCTTGATGCTGAGGTACTTGGGACCATCTTGGTACCCAAATTCATTGGAGTAAGTGTACTCATCACTTTCGATATTGCCCATTTTAATGAATATTTTCAATGTTGTTCTGTAAATTTGGGGTTTTGGGGTTTTGGGGTTTTGGGGTTTTGGGG